CATTTCATCATTATAAGCAATTTAATGTAGACTTTAACAACCTGTTTTGACACAGAAATAAAAGGATAGTTACATATTTAATTGACTCATGTACTTCATAATAACTTTTTTGTCTATTTGTTCGATGTTTCTTGTATATTTTCGGATGTCTCAATATCCAATTAATTGGTCTCATCATTATAATCTAGGCTGTATGAATTTATTTTGCTGTAGTAAAAAATGTTTTTTACTTAACAATAGTTATTCATAGATACATTTGGCTGATTGCATTGAATGGCAGGATTAGAACTGGCGACGGCGTGACGCCTCGCGCTGAGCCACCGGTGACTCAGCACTCCCGCGAAGCATATCCTTGCATATTAACCTTTAAGTAACTTACTCTTGCATTAGCAAGCTACAGTAAGTGAGTTTTGATTAGCTTTACTACTATTTTTAATAGCGAACTCTGAGGGATAGGGGGATGAAGCAAAAATGTTGTTTAGTTCAGTGCAGTAGTTCAGGGGTAATGAAAAGTTCAGTTACGCTCGGTTTGGTATTTAATTGAATCTCTTAAAAAAACATAAATGATTGTTTCCAAAACACTGGCCAGTGATCCGCAGCTCTTTAAATACTGTGACCCTTACTATTTAACTTAAGTATTTGTGATGACAACAACCTTGAAACTTTATAAGAATAGAAACACTGGAAGAAATAATTTTATAAATTGATCACTATAAAATAATGACCCAATAATTACAAAAGCAGAGATTATAAACACACAAGTAAAGAAGTTTTGTTACAAATGTAAGTCATCCGTGGTCTATAACTTCCTCTAGGTGACACACATCACATGCCTTTCTAATAATTTTAGACTTTTGAAGAATTGCATGTTTTTAGTATTAACTAACTTTGGTAATGTATTTCCTGATTTGTTTTTATCTGAGGTGCGAACGATTTTCCTTTAAAAAATATTCAGTTTTATCCCATACATGAAGTAAAGCATTAAAGATCTTCCTACACTAACCGAAGTGACTCAATATAACTTTCAAGTGTTTACTTTCTAACATCGACTCGAACGACCTTGAGGAGTCCCTTCGCGCCTTCCTTTGCGGCCCGCAAGGCCGCCCGGGATGCATGGTGAGGGGTACAGGGTGAGGGGTGCAGGGCGCAGGGCTGGTCCTGTATCGATCCCACAGCCTCCGTGCCGGCACCCGCGCCCCCGCCCTGCCCCGCCTCACACCCCGGCCTCGCCTGACATTTGCGGGAAATTAGTAATTATTCAAAGCTTTTTGAAGTAAGCAAACTAATATCGTTGATAACTGTTCCATGAATTATGAAGAGCTCAGTGGAAAATAATGATTTCATTTATAATTGCCAAACTTTCTATATCTTTTACAGACTTAAGCATGAACACTTGTGAGTAAATTATGAGTAAATTCTTCCCCATTTCAAGTTCTCTGACTTCATTACGTATAAATCTTACTCGTGTTTTATTTATTTTCTATCTTTCATCATCAAAAATACTTACGCTACGAGACTGAAATCTCTTATTTAGTATCTATTAACAATTTGGATTATACCAATGAATAAGTTTTATGATATCAGCTGTCGATTTTTCTATAACTTTAGAGCGTGTTATTGAACCGAATGTTTTAGGTGTTCCTATATACTTTTACGAAATCCACATTTGTAAATGTACACAGAGACATATAAGTATACATTTATGCGTAAATAGTTTGAACGTACAGCAGCTCGAATATCACCAGCTTGCAAAGCTGTCGTGTAGGCCAAGCAGGTCGTATGTGCAGTTGTGCGGCACAGCGATTGCACAATTTGTGCTGCGCTGTGCAACGCCGCGGGATGCCCCGCGCGAGCAGCGTCAGCTAGTCAACCCCAAGTCATTGACCATCAGGTCACACGTGCCGTATCTATATAATTTACTTCAATAAAAATAATATCTCAACTTCCTTTATTACATGTTTTAGAAGCATTTAAAAATGGTTTTGCTTGTTTTAGTTTCATTTATTCTTTTGAATTCTTCATGGTCCACTAATAGCAGAAGAGTACAGAGCTCTAACATGAAAGGAAAAATGACAATGTATAATGTTGTTGTTTTTTTTATTAATGTCTTTAAGTTTCTTGAAAGTAATATTCCTAAGCTTTGTGCAGGTACAAGTTATGTACCAAGCACAAAAACTGTTTTTCCCAGTGTTTCTTATATAGTGCCGCTCGCAAGGAACATGGGACCTCCCGACCCGTCCCAAGTGGAGGCCGCCTACTTACCCGTGCTCTATTCCCGCCCGAATGAACCACTCACAAAAAGTCTTTCATTTCGCGAGAAACTGGCAAGTATAAGTCGTCTAACCTACTTCCCTTAATACCTTACCCTGGTCCTACGTTTAAAAACAAACTCTATGCCGTTGAAAAAAGATCTAATGGAAGCTGTCAACAAGATGACGAACTATTGGGTTCAAAGCGCGGAGGGAAATTGAAGAATGTTAAAGCCTCCGTTTATTGCTCGGGGTCAACAACTGGGGAGGAGGCCGCGTTTTTCAGAAATGAAACGACCCACTCGACTGTAGTCTGAAGCAGTCCTCTGTATGTTGTGAGCAGGGCCGCAGTCGCCGCCGGCTGGCACCCAATTCCACTGAGTGCCCCCGCGCCGCGCTGTTGACCTCGTATAAGTCCAGATGACATAGCACACTCAAAATTGTTAGGAACAATGTATGTAGTTATATGGTAAATTGAACTATACTAGTTAGTACATAAGGCCTGTGTTATTATTATTTTGTAAATGCAAATTATAACTTAATAAACATGACTTAGTAAACATCGGCAAGTGCAATGTATTGACAATATTGCTATTTTTATCCACAGGAGCATGGATTTACTGAAATGTTTCGTAAGTGATTATGCAAAGGTAAAAAACTATAATCTCAAATTGAAACAACTCATAAAAGGTATTATAGAGCGATAACTGTACTAAAATATGTATATAAACGGCCGCTGTTGGTACTATGTAACAAAATAGTCAATAATAGAAACTAAGAGAGTGTAGAATCTTTACTTAATTATCTTCTTCTATAAAGCTGTGATGGTCATTTTTGTCAACAGAAATATCTTTAATTCTAAGCCTCGGTACTCATCCACTTCCCAGAATGCGAGGACGAGACATGCGTCAACTCAATATCTCATATGATTGTCAACTTAAGTACGAATTCGTTTTCCTCAAATGAAATTAGGCACACTTTAGAACAGTTTTCCTTATTTACCGGCTGCCTTGACTCTGCTATATTAAAAAGAATCTTGGCCGTTATATTTAATTTAGTAATTTTAGAAATTGTACGATGTAAGAAGGCAAAACAACTGCAGTCTTTTGCTCGTTGTGGAAACCTGCCTGGGTTCAATCTTGCGCTATTTACTTTTACATTTAATAAAATTTTAATATCTCTATGTAATATAAAAAAAACATATTTCGTACACATGACGTAATTGCGTTGCTGATAACGAAAATTGTTTTTTTTTATTTTCTGTTTGTCTCTGTCTGTCCGCAATGTAAAAAAACGGCTGCACTATTATAAACTACTTAAAAAAAATCTGCGTTGAAGAAGTCGCGGACAAAAGCTAGTGGTTATAAAATTTTAAATTAAATTGCAAGGTTTCATGTTGATAGTTCTAGGCAATATGCTGTAATGTTTTCATAATAAACTTGTAAAAAGTAAACTTCAGCATTTAAAAAAATGAACAAAAAGATAGTTCGCTGAGGACAGGATTCGAACCTGCGCGGGTAGAACCCATTGGATTTCAAGTCCAACTCCTTAACCACTCGGACACCTCAGCCATGCAAGGTGTAATGAAAATTATCAATCCGCTTATGTGAATACCTGAAATGCACATAAACCATGAATATATAATAACACACGTAATTTGGTAGATACAGATAAATTATGATTGAATATTTAAAGTGTGCGAGATTGCGGCGCCCGCGCAGTGCATATCGCTTTTCTGCTTTATTATTAAATCAACAAGTTCATGAATGATATAAAACTAATAGTTTACTGACAGATATGCGATTTTCATCTTTTCATATTATTATCCCTAAGACTGACTGTCAATTCCCGTATAATTGATACTTATTTGAACAAGTGTGCAAATTTTCGTATTTTTTTAAATTTTGCTGGTATGTTAACAAAACAATCGTTACAAATTGTCTGTGTTTTTGAATCTTACACATTTTCCACGTAAAGTAAGGAAGAGTTATTAAAAGCAAAGTGAGATATTGTAACAAGTAACAAATGATAACTTAGCGAGACCAGCTCCAGCCGTTTAAATGTAGGCACTTTTGTCCAATAGTTACTTTAAAAACGACAAAATGTTGAAATTATTTTAGCTTATTTCATTATATTTTCCTTCGTCTTTATTTATAAATAGGTATTAATTTTGCTTGATTTGTTGATTCGAGATTTTGCTTTTAAATACTTGGTAGGAGTGATGTCCACTTAGAATTTTTCAGTTCAGACCTACTTATCTTTTAATTTTGAATAAAACTTTCCCTGTATGATTTATAACAACTTTAATAAGCAGCTCAAATTTACTTTCTACAACTGCTTGGCAAATACACCCGGCCTGAATGGGACGTTGTTTTCTTGAATACATTTTCAAAACAATTCACGTATACTTCCATCAGAATGAAAGAAAAATAGTTTAAATAAAAAGTTGACTACTAAGACTTGTTCTTGACCTGTGACAAGTTTATTTGCCCATATTTAGGACAACAACAACAAATTTTTGCTTATTGCTCTTAGGAGCTTTAGGAGCTAGTAACGGACGGAAGGCGAAATAGAGCACATCCAGTGGTTATACCTCAAAAGATTACTTTATCTAGTTTTATTTACATAGTAGAGTTATTACAAACGATATTAACTTAAGATGTTAATTATATTATATTTTTTTCTGATACAACGTTTTTGCAAAATCCATTTTTTGATAAAGCAATTATGAGAAACTGTTAAAACGGAACGTTGTCATCCATGATGGCAGTTGTGTGATGTTTTGGTTTTTTTTCATTAAAATTCATTTAAATCAAAACTGTAACAGTGCGGCAATGTCATGTATTCATGGTAAATTGAAATAAATTGGTGAAGTGCCGTTTAATGTTTAGTATGCCAGATGGTGAAGACAGGACGTGGGGGTTCTAAAATGCCGTGCGAGAGTTGCGCCGTACAATTCAGTGTATTTAAGCGAAAACGGGTTTGTTCTGAGTGCGAGCGATATTATTGTGGAGGATGTCTTCGTCGTGGCGGTGGCATCATGTGCGCACCATGCCGAGTGTTGTCAACGCGGCCTCTCTCCCGGCATGCCATCACCCACCTGAAAGTTCGAGACTTGCAGTGCTTCTTACAACATCAGAATATCTCTACGCGCGGCTGCGTCGGTGCGTTAATATTGTTTGCGATTGCATTTACATTCTAAATTGATTCTCAAGGGCTTAGTGTTCTGTATTAAGTCTACATTAGTTATTATTTTTAACTCATGTTAGCTTGCTGAAAACTAATGGCAATTGAATGATGATTATTAAGGCATGTCACATTTCAATAACTTATTTTTATGGCTGTGCAATAAATTACATATATTTGAATTATAAATACATTATAAGATTTTAATCAAATAACTACACTTCTATACTTTCTCTATAGTGACCTGCCACTGACAGTGAGTAGGTAGCAGGCCACTTACAACAATTTTTACTCTTCTATTATAGTAACACATTGTTTTCTTGTGAATAACAACAAACCTGATTGACTCTGACCTCTGTACCATTTTGGGTAGGAATATAAAGCAAATGATACTTCATACTTATTAATTGGTGAAGCAATATAGACTCCCTGTATATACAATTTTAGTAAGATGTCTGAATGCATGACTTTAATACAAAAATGCCTACTGAACACATTATGCTACTGAACTGAGTTGGGGAAAAAGTTTAAAACATTTTTAACTAAATCTGAACTGCAGATCATGAATTCTCATTAAACTGCCAATCTATTTACACTTTTAACCACATAAATATTTATCTGTGTGTGTTAGTTACCCTCACCCAATGTATGATTACTTGGTTAGTTAGCATATCATCTACATGTATATGTTACTTCCTCCGGTCACATTGAATGCTGTAAATTTATGATCGTATATATACTAATAATCCTACAGTACAAATTGATAATGGCATTGAATTGACTCTTATCAGTACAAGTCAATTGTTTTAGGCTGACTTCTTTAAATATTCTTCCCCGCCCCTACTAGTGAGATAAGATAATGAGCACTTGGAAGCTAATAATATCAGTAGTACTATATATTTACAATCTATAATGCTACTAATAAAAATGTTTATGCTACATTTCCAAACTAATAAGATATTTATGAATGAAAACCCAATAGAATGCAAGACATGTAGAATTGTAGCATATTATGAAAAGTAAGTTGACTATGAATTGTTGCTTTGTTATAGAAAAAGATGAGCTGGTGGGTCTGTGTGTATCGCACGTGAACAGTTCGGCGTACCGGCGACGCAGCTCACGTGGCGGTGCCTTCAGCGGTCTCAAGGGCTTCACCAACAATATCAATGACTTCCTCAACTCTGCCTTCGACATTCGCACCACCCAGCGTGACCCCTCGCGAGACGTCCCTCCCCCTCGCAGTGAGATACTGCTACTCTTCAGTTTGTTTGTTACATCTTAGCTTCTACATTCAAACACATTTTTACATACATAACATAACATGCAGGATTTCTTGACTATTTTAATGATGTAATATGACTAAAAGTATCAAGTGAAATATAATTTAAATATTCATATATTATCAGTTTTATATTTAAATGAAAAAAACATTTCAGCTAAGTAACATATTGCTTGAACTGAATCACATAATTTACCTCAAGTGTTGTATTGCACCTTGTCAAAACAATAATTTGATATGTACATTTTTGCTGACTTAAGTATTTATTTCCTACATAATTGTATAAGCAACAATACTTAACATTGTCTAGTTATCATATTGGATTTCATTTATTGTACAATTTTGCTTTAAATAATTCTGAATATGTGATAAAGTCATTATTATAGAGTATGTTATGAGAGGTGTTCACTGATAAACCTCATTGTTTGTGTTACACACAAAGTTGTTTTGTGGAGTCAAAGTATACATACTATAATTTATTATAATACATTATGTCAAAACTTCTGTCAAACGTTAGATTCATGATTGGTGAGTGTCAAGTTAGGTTTGCAACCAAGTTATAGATAAAAATTATTATTGGAGGATGTTTTCATATTGCACTGAAGTTAATCATTGGTTTGTCATTTGTTGACAAAATACATGAATTCTGCTGGTAATTCTATGTGTTATAGTTTTATATTATGCATGATCAGCAATGGTAACTCGCAGGCAGCTGCTTCAACTCGACGCACGTGCACGTGACGACGTGTGCACCCGCCCACAACGCCCACACCGCAGACCAGTCCCACACCGCCCACAACGCAGACTACGCCCACCTAGCCGACCGCCGCTTCACGCCCACACCTGGTACTTGTTTTGTAAATTGATTTTAGTTCTCTATCAAAATATCTACTTGTATTTATTCAGTAATTATTAAATAATAGTCACATTTCACTTATAGGTGTTAGTTTTATTTGTCTGTGTGCGCGCAGGTGGCGAGCGGGACGTGCGGCCCGTGGTGGCGGACCAGCCGCAGCCGCAGGGGGTGCAGGGGGCGCGCCGCGAGTCACAGGACTCCGCCCACGTCGACACCGCCGACTGTCTCGAAGTCGAGGACCTCGACGACGCCGGCTGGGAGTTCGTCACCACGCCTGCCGAGCCCCTGCCCAACGGTGACCGCACTCCACCCCGCGCTACCACCGCCTTTCTCGTATGTATGTTCACTGACTCATCTCCCTATTTCTATTTAAGACTCGGAGGTGCTGCTTACGACCAGCGATGGCAGTCGGCGGGCGGAGGCGGCGGCCGCTGCGCCGGCTAGCGAGGAGAGCTCGACGGGCGCTGAGCCCGAACATGGCCCCCGGAGCTCCGGCAGTCTCGCGACGGCCGGCGGCGGCGCCAAGCGAGCCGCGCCCGCGCACGCGCACGCGTCGGTGGCGCAGGCCGAGGCGCCGGGCACGCCGCAGCGCGCCGCCTCCGAGCTGGAGCTGCACCGCGCGCCCGCCGACGACGGGGACACCGCCAGCCTGCGGGACGAGCCCATGATGGACCGCCAGCCAGGTCGGTGCATTTACAAGCAAATTGTAAAGCATACGCTTGACGGCCGTTTACGTTTTTCGCTGACGTTCGCGGTGTAACGCTCGCAGAGAGTCCGGAACGGATAAGCCTGGAGCGAATGAGCGAGGCGGACCTGGAACGACTCAGCGTGCGCCAGCTGAAGCAGCTGCTGCACCGCAACCGCGTCGAGTTCCGCGGCTGCCTCGAGCGTGCCGACCTGCTGCAGCGCGCCCGCACCCTGCTGCGCGACCACCGCAACCTGCACAGAGGTACTCCCCCCCC